GAGCGTTTAAAATATCAAAAAGGGCTTACTACTTGTGGCATTAACAATATATTAGCGATAGTTAAGAAGAAAAATTACCTCCCTCTAATATGGCCAGCATACGGGGGCCCCGGATATAACTCAGCCATCAGCTCCAGAAGGCTTATCGGAGGGGTATATTTTACTTACTCTGGTGTTGGCAGTGGTTCTTCTTTGAAGTAAGGGTCTTGCAAAGCCTGGTCGGAGGTGATTCTCTTGTTTGGGTCCATTACTAATAACTTGGCCAGCTGTAAAATTGCAAAATATTAAAATTTTTATGCTTTTATTCTAGACCTTTTGTTCGGTGAGCAAGCGCTTCGCGACGTATTTCTACGTGAAAATCTTTGATAGATTTCTTCTGAGGGAATGGACGATAGGTAAACGGGAAGCAGAAGGAAAGGTTAGAGGAGATATTAGCAGACGTCTTGCCCAATTACCGACCCACTTCTCCCTCTTTCCAGTCTAACCCTATAACAATCATGACGGCCAAGTGAAAGACTTCTTCACTGCAGGATATACAAAAGACAAGCTATATTGTTGTACATGTCAACTCGCACGTTCACGAAGTTATCACACAATATTTGCAAGTAACTTAATGATGCATTTACCATCTAGGCTGTTCGGAAATAATGAATCAAAGTGTTACAGCATCTCGTATGTGCATTACACGTTTTACATACATCTACGTAAAAATGGATAATAATCATCTCTCAAGAAGTGTGAACGTACGGGATACCAAACAGAAAAGACGAGAAAGTCTTACCAGTTGAAACGCTCTGCTTTCTTGTTTGACTTTGTGTTTCTCCATATATTTCCATAAACTAGCATTGACATAACTAAAAAAGGAAACAACAACAAAATAAAAAGACAATCCAAAAACTTATTGCGAGGAAATTGTGTTCTTGATGTACAAGTGTACAATTACGCTGATGAATTTTGCTAATAAATAAACAACCCAAAACGTAAAGTGGTCCGAGGGACTTCTTGTTGTGGTTCGACTATGGCTTATCATTTCATCTACCATGTTGTCTAGGCCAATAAAAACTTGCGAATGGCATGATATTGCATAATACTCCAGTTTTAAAATAAACACGTTTAAACAGGTAAACAGACTTACTTAGTTTTTCTGAAGTCTTTTTGCAGTGTGCCATGTTCTGGCATTTTCCTGATGTCCTCCCAGTCTTTCTCTGAAAAATTAAAAAAAAGTTCCAAAGTGAGCTTTTGGAGACAGCACAAACATTAATGAAGTTTAGTTAAGTTTAGTTTATTTAGATTCGCCAACCGGCAGGGACAGCGCAACAGCTTGCGCCAATTACTGCGGGCCCAGTAAACCCACCCATCCCACCCCAGGGGAGGACATCCATCACACAGTAATCTCGTGTGTGGGAAATCAACGTCTCCTGCCCCCAACCCTGCAGGAGACGGGACCTCCATTTATTCGTCCCTATCCGAGAAGACTAGAATATCTAACCATTTCTTGATGTTATAGAAAGGTAGCAAATTCTTCTCAATTATTTTAAGACCTTGAGTGTTGGTCCGGCCGGGGCTCGAACCCTCGACCTCCCGCAC